CAGGTACGTCTGCCCCTGATCATTTTTTTTTTGATTTAGGAGGTCTGATGAGATGGGTGTAAAATTCAGCAACCTCCTGGAATTGTTAGTACCAGTATACTTAATTTGTAGCGTAGCAATTGTTCTGTAACTACAGCTATACGTACGACCTTATTTCTGTTGCTTGTTTCCTTGTGTCACTAACAACCAGATTAATTGGTCATCCCGCAACAAGAAGAAAGGTGCAAGTTGAAAGTTGGGACTAAATGGCAGCTACTAACCGACCACCAATATTATGAGCTTGCCCCCTCAGGCCTCAACTGTAGTACAGCAAGTTCGTTGAGCGAGCTGGGGAAACATGATTAGCTAGCAAGCCGCAACCATAGGAATTATGCTGTGGCGCCAGGTATAACTGAAGTTGACATCTGTCCGTCGCTCTCAACGCCATGCATCTGTGCGCGCGGCGCGCCTAACCAAACAAGCAGGACTCTCACGAATTAGATTATCTTCTCCTTAGGTAGCAGGATTAACTTTGTGACCACCAGGTGCGGTGCAACGCCGAGGACGGTGCGTGATTCAGCTCGTGTCAAGAATGCCTGAAGGGTGAAGATTGACGACCAGGCGCGGGCACAACACGGGCCTGACAGCCAGCGCGAACATTCCCAGTTGAGCTAAGTAAAAGAAATTAAGAAATGCGTTCAACGATCTGTATGATAAAATGTATTCTCCATCGCTCTGGTTTCTCATTTCTACAGCTTTGGAATGAAAGACGCGCTTGAGGAAGAACAGGCTATGGCCTATGGGCACAAGTGGATCCCATCAGACTGAGCACTGAGCAGTCACCAGTCACTGAGGGAAGGGCATGCACATTTAACATCAGTGAGCAATTATTATTTTTGCCTTGTTTAGATTGCAAATTTTTGCAACTTGAACACTGTAGCACGTTTTGTTTGTATTTGACAAACTTTGTCCGATCATGGACTAACTAGGCTTAAAAGATCCGTCTCGTGATTTACAACCAAACTGTGTAATTAGTTTTTTTTTACCTACATTTAATGCTCCATGCATGCGTCCAAAAATTGATGTGATGAAGAAGAGAGTGAAAAAACTTAGAATTTGGAGGTGATCTAAACAAGGCCTTTGTCTCCGTAGTAGCAGACTGCCCAGTTGTATGCCAATCGGCTGCGCTGGCTGCAGATACCCGGTTTGTTCGTTTGATCGTAAACGATCTTAAATTTCTAGTCAGAACAGTATTTTTCTCTGACCAACAGTAATAATCCACGATCGTATACGATCGTTTCAGCCCAGCCGAACATGCTAACGGCTGCAGCAGCAGCAGAGATCTTTGCTAATTGTTACAGTAATTTCACTGTAGCGAACACCTACGTCTGCAGCAGCCACAGCTGCAGCCGAGCGGAGGCAATGTCGGGAACTTCAAAATAGACAGATTCCGGGCGACTGATATCAGTTTCATTATATTTGTATATATAAGCCTCGCCAGTTCATACAGAATTACGGACCATGTACAAATAGTATCCGTTTGCATTCAACACACAAACAACATGCAGACTCGAAATTTTTTGCCCGAGATTCTAATGCAACATTCAATTATAAGTGATCTGGACTAACAGAGGTTTCAATGTGCCCCGCCCCTATCATCTTGGTTAGCAGGTGGGTATGGAATGCTAACTTGATATCAGAATACTGCACAAGAGCTAGAACAGCAATGTTTCAGTTCTGCGAATTATTACATATATTACATATACTAGCTAATATGAAACAGGAAGAAAGCAAATTTGCTAATTCAAATCGAGAGATCCACATAACTGGTTGGGATGAAAAATCTGGACGAACCCTGGACGATTGAAATTTCCAGATCGAAGCAGACCATCACATTTCACAAACAAAAACAATCCACCACTCGATTATAGGTTAACACATGGCCCTGTTCGCTTCTCTTATAATCCGTCTTTTTCAGCTTGTTTTTTCAGCCAGAATGTTTTTTTCTCTCACAACAAATCAGCCGGAACAGTATTTCGACTTGTTTTTTCAGCAAAGCGAACGGGGCCAAACACCTGTGCCAAATGTCATTTGGAAGCTTGTTATAGGAAGTTTACATATGATGTGATTTAAATTCAGTAATAGAAATACATATTATTTCCCTTTAGGCCTTCAGCTGTATAACACCCCAACTACATTCAGAAAACCTATGTTCATATATACAGGAAAAAAGGGGTGGGGAGCATATACAGAATGTAAAACAGCTACTAATTAGAAGATAAGTTACAATTTTGACAGTAATAATGCAATTAGAAAAATATTTAATAGTCTTAGATTTTGAATTATGCTCACAAAGCAGGGTCTCATTCCCATAGATTCTAAACAATATAGATCATGTCATAAGTGACAAACTGACAAGTAAACATAGAGGATGCTTCCATTGTTCATGTGAAATTTTAGTCATATTCTTACTTTGTGGGTAATTGATATGGTTTGGACAAAAATCCGCTGCTCCACAATAAGACAAACTGGATGAAGAAGGCACAAAGTGACAAATCAGTTGATACTGCTTAGTCCAGGGAGCACAAATCAAGCATGTCAGGATGGCAAAAGGTGTCACTGAGTTGTAAATAGCTGCCAAACATTAAGGTCCAATGGTCAGTTGAGTGATGACAAACCACATATTTAGGGTCCAATAGACACTTTTCTAAGCTTACAGTCTAATAATTAAAAAGTCATTAGAGGTATGCATTCGATTTTAAAAATAATAAAAACAGATAAAAAAACATATATACAGACATTAATAACTGAACCACCACAATCCAATCCAATAAACAGGGAAATATTGATAACATTACAATGTAAAACATATAGCTAAATATTAGTTCACAGTACAAGTACATAGCAAAGGCACGAGAAGTTTCCTAGTCACAGAGGACTGAAATAGAAACTAATCAGTCTGTTCGCTTGTTGGTTTCAGCTAGGACTTATCAACCATGGTACAATATTTTTCTCTCACAACAAACCAGTACCAATCGGGCATATCAGCCCAGAAACCAACCAGCGAACAGGCTGAATGGCTAATGCATCTAGTTGATTCTACTAGCAGCACAAGAACTACAAATGATGTGTTACAGGAATAAGCAGACTAAAGAGGGTAGACACAGTGCCGGAGGCTCCCACATGAGTGGGGTCTGGGGAAGGGAACAACCGAGGCAAGTCTTCCTCCCCATAAAATCTACGGAGAGACTGCTTCGAACCCGTGACATGTTGACTCAGTGATTTCTTTGTGCTATGACCTGCCCAATTTCCTCCAATCCTCCCCCTTTAACAATTCAACATTCTATTTTTTAAGAAACTTAAATGCATTATAGAGGGAAAAAGAAACTACACGAACGATCATCTCAGAGAGAGAGAGAAAGATATTAGAAAAGATGGAACTAACAAGGGGGACAACTAAGTTACAGAAGAAACAAAAGCACGAAACTCTAATGATGTATAGGTTAAAGGAAATTCCTCGACTATCTAAATAAAAGAAATCCATAGAAATCACCAAAGGACAAGAAGAGCATACAGTGATTTGTGCAGAAACGTTTTCTATAGGAGAGAAGAACATGATGACCTTCCGCCCGTTCCTCTTCGGAGACAGAGACAAAGAATAGGAGAGCTTTTATTGAATATATATGACCTATATAGATGGAATGTGTCATTAACTGCTATTTCTCTCTTCTCTGGTGAAGCCACGCCATCACTAATATTTTAGTCATCCGATCTTAAGTAACTGTGTTGATCCTGGCCATCCGTCCTCTCAATCCCACCAACACTCTTTAATTGCTTTTGCCGTACATGATAGAGATGACGTGGACATTTTTTTGTAATTAATAAGGAATGATATGGGTTTAGTGGGAATAATGTCATCTTGCTTGAAGAGATAGAATATTCAATGAGTGACTTAGTGGAAAATGACGTGGACACTTTACATGAAGAGAAAAAAATATCTAGTGAGGTTTAGCTTTATATAAGAGTATTATAGATACAGTACTCCACACCAAAGGAATGAGCACAAGCCTTATTAATGTTGCGTCCAGGTCTGCCACGCCGTAGGCCTTGGCGCGTCAGTGCCGCGCCTTGACTGGTGCGGTCAGCGTCTCGGTCGTCGTCACGTCATCCCTCTCGCCGCGCCACCATGCATGGCGTGGCACATGCGTTTCGCCGCGCCAGAGAAATAGGCGCGGGCAAAAGTGTTAGTTTTGAAAAAAAATAAAACAGTGTTACATTTAAAATTAGTTTAAAAAAATGTTAAAAATAAAATAAAATTCCGCGGGGCGGGGTGCTTATAAAGGCCGGCGTCGGTGAGAAGGACGGGAGCGAACCGCGTGGCCGCGTGGGCCGTGCCGCCTGCCGCAGAGGTCGGGTCCGCAACGGTCTCGAGATGCCCATGCCCATGGTGTTGTTACAGGGGACGGACGCGGTTTATTTCCATTTACGTGCGCTTAAAATCTTGGTGCAGAGAACTTCTCGTTTTCGGCAGATGTTCCCTTTTTTTTTGACCGTTCGAACCTGGTTCCCTGAAGAGATCGACCGGCACGTCAGACACTTTGACCGTTGAACCACACAGCATTCTAGATCGGCTGTTAGCCTCGGTCGGTCCTCAGATTCGACCACAGTTCTGCCATGAGCATACAGGAACTCTTGTCCGGCCACTTTTCCGGATCACACTGCACCTCGATCGACCGCCCGATCTTCACGCTAGTACATCCGTCCAGCGTCCCGTGATGAAGAACTGAAGTCGTACGATGTACAGTCATGCAATGCAAACTGCCTACTAGCTGCCTAGCTATAGCTCCTCCTAGCTTTGCAGATAAGATAAGAGCCAAGGGCCTGTTCGGTAGGACTAAAAAATACTGTTTCGACTGATTATTGTGAGAGAAAAATACTATTCTAGCAGGACGTAAACAATGATTTCGTGAGAGAATAAGTCAGCCAGCCAGCAGCCAATAAGCCAGCCGAACAGCCTGCAAATGCTGACGGCCGGCCGGGCTTGTTCGTTCCCGCGGTGCGGCCGATCTGCAGACATCAACTGTATGTTGATCATTAGCGGCTGAATTGAACAAGCGAACATGATGACGATGGGACGAGGCGACGCCGATCTGTGATCTGACTCGCGTAGAGTACGTAGCTTTCTTTTTTACTTAATAACTACGAGTGCGTGCGTCGTAACGGGGGCAAAATAAATTGAATTAGATGTTTGTAAGTCAAGTTAAAATCAAAAATATATCAATTCAATTTTTCACGTGTATATACCATGATAATATTTAGAAACACATTCATTATCGTAATAAATCTGAAATAAAAGTTAGGCTTAGAGCTCGTTGTCTGAAAGTTACGATAAACATCAGTTGCCTTAAAGGCTAAAAAATTATTGCTAGATATCGAATCGAATTTATCCATGCTCTGTTTTGCCCAAAACATGTATACTCGGACTTACACTATCTTAGCCCGCACGAGGCATGGCAACAATTCATTTTTTTAAAAAAAAGTATTTGTTGTCAACACGTAATGCAAAGGACGACGAACGAGATTTGGATCACGATCATGATCATTACGTGGTGATATTCCAATAAATTTCTTTCTCTTCCCATAATTCTTTTTTCGTTTTATTCCATTTTATTTACTTGTCTTTCAGTGTATCCATGCGGTAATTATTTGCCTACCGGTGATTCCGTGAGTTTTATTCCATTTTATTTACTTGCCTTTCAGTGTCTCTATGCGGTGATTATTTGCCTGCCGGATATGGATCGCATGAGTGTTTTGGTCCTGCCGGGTAGATGTTGACAATCCGTATGTTTTAGTTGTAGAGATAAATTCCTTTCTCTTCCCATAATTCTCTTTCTGTTTTATTCCATTTTATTTACTTGCCTTCCAGTGTATTCATGCGGTGATTATTTGTCTACCGGTGATTCCGTGAGTTTTATTTCATTTTATTTACTTGGCTTCCAGTGTCTTCATGCGGTGATTATTTGCCTGCCGGATATAGATCGCACGAGTGTTTTAGTCGTATCGAGTAGATGTTGACAATCCATATGTTTTAGTTGCAGAGAAGAGATTCAGAGAGTTGGCTGATCGATCCATCAGCTGGGGTAGAACAGATGCCTTGCTCTCCTGCTGCCTGCTGGAGGTTGCAGCTCATAATGCAGCTGGATGGATGGATGGATCCATGGATCGATCGTCGGGTCCCCTTCAGGCTCGAGAGGCCATGGACTACGACGTGTCCCTGTCGGAGGAGCCAAAGCCCAGAGCGAGCGAGATCGCCTGCTTGAGACGCCCCCATTGACCCCGGCTTTGTTTAATGGATCAGTGGCCTGCAGGGAGCTTGATTTGCAGCTAACGATTGATCTGACCACGCATGAGATGGTTGATGGTGCCATGGTGTGAACTCAGGTCTCAGCAGAAGGGAAGGGTGATGGCCAATTGCCCAATTGGATGGTGGCATGCAGGAGGGGCCGCCTCTGCTGGTGGTTCGCGTGCAGGGATATTGTGAGATTCCTCTGACTAACTGCATCATAACCAGACGTAATGTACCTACTCCAGGCAGTTGTTTGCTTTGGATCGGACCTGTCCCTATTACGGCTCCTCAGTGTCAGGCAGCTTACCTGCCTGCCACGCAACACTTCAGTCCTTTTCTTCACTCCAGTATATTTGAGGCAATATGTAATTTTGTGATTGACCGTTTGACTATAGAAAAATTGTAAATTGACTCTTGTGAGTTGTCATTTAAATGATAGTAATTGTTTGTCTGAAATTACCTGAAAATTTAGGAACCTGAAATATAACAAATCCTTTTTTTCATCATAGAAGAAAGGAAAATATAGCATACACGAGGATTCCGGATCAAAAAGCAGACGGAGACAGAGACTGTCACAAGCACACTAGCGGAAGTCCAGCCCAAGCCAACTCGCACGGCCCATGTCATGATCTGCCAAAACCGGCCAACTCGCACGGGGCCATATCATTATTTGCCAAAACCCACGCGCTGGCCTAGCCGTTTTCAGCCCACGGCTAGTGTCCCACGGCTCAACGGGTCCAGTTGAACGGCCACCTGGGCGGTTGGGCCGTCAGACTCGCGTCGCGGCGCGGCGCCCCCACGGCCACATCGCCGACTTCTCCTCGGTTCCTCGGCACCCGCACGCTTCCCCCCGCGCCCAGCCGTCGCCGTGATCGCCAGAGCGTTCCTCTGCCGCGCTGGTCGGCCCGTCCACTCCCGCGAAGCTTCCAGCAGAGGCGACCGCCGGATCGAGTCTCGGCCGCCGAGGAGTCGAAGTCCATGGAAGTGTGAGTACTCGGTAGCACCGTCATTTCACTGCCCCGCTAAGGGGCCGCATCTATCTCTGGGCACCGATCTGACCGCGTCGTCGCACGGTGGCGTCGGCGCCGGGGAAGGTGCTCATCTCGGGAGGATACCTCGTGCTGGAGCGCCATAAGTTGCTGTTGCAAGGTTGCAAAGCTTCTCTTAGTTATTTTTGCTGCTCTTAATCACCCCATCAGGTTACATGCTTGATGTGTACTACTCGAGCATATCAATTTTTTTTTTGGTAATATGTCTCAACTTCTTGTTGCAGGTCTGAACATTACAGTTCTTGGTTGCAATGATTTCTATTCTTATAGAAAGCAGGTGAACCTTCTTAATTGTATAAGCATACTCATTACTCATGTGTATTTTAGCTTCTTGCAGAGCTCTACTACACCCAAAAACCCAATCCCACTGGTAAAGAAAAGAGAGATTCCCTTGTAGCTCCTCCTTTTTTTAAATTTGAACCATTACTTACTAAAAAATAAACTACCTAATCTTGAACATAATTTTCTAATATCTACAAATTCTACTAAAACAATAAAACAGTTACCAGAGTTTAATTTGAAACTTAAAGTGTGAACTCTTTTGTACTGTGCTTTGCTTCTCTATTCCCACGATGATGATCACACCTTTTGTGATAAAAGTATTAGTTTTGTTAAGACCAAAATTAGCATAGTGCACTTCTTACTACAAAGGACGAAATCAGAAGCAAAACTCAAAGCTAATGTGTTGGTATATATATTTATATATGACATATGATGTACATGTATGTAATGCTTGCTTTCTATTTCTTATAAAGTTTGTGTAGTTGAAGATTATTATTTTCCTTTATGCTCTATGCATACATGACAGCGTTTCTTATGTCAAACTTAAGGTTCAATGAACTTTGAATGGATAGCCAACTGTAAAATTTTGAATAGATGACTGACTGCCAGATGGCAATGTAAAACATTTAAGATGGCGTTTGGATCAGCGAAATGTAACGTAATTACATTACGGAGGGGATGGGATGATGATACAGCTGTTTGGTTCAACTCGGTCCGTTATGGAGTACCCCGCAATCAGATACGGACCCGTTCACGGCCGATACCGCCCATCCACAAGCTTTATCGCATTACGCAGCAGTTGACGTTATCAGTTTCCATTACTTTTTTGCAACCGACAAATCACGGGAATCAAAGATCCCCTTGCTGCTCCCCGCGTGATCTGTTTTCCTTACCATTTACGTTTCCATCCATGGAAACAAACGCCTTCTAAAAGTTATTCTCCTTGCATTATTTAATAAACTGCAACATGTGAAACTGCTTTCTCTTTACATACTAAATATCGTATAAACCATATAAAATTTCCTTGTTTGACCTAGTTCATGTTTACAACTAGAGCTCACCCAGAAAATACTATATCTTATTGGTTTCCATTGTTTCTTCAGATTGAAGCACGTGGTCTTCCTCTTACTCCGGAGGTATTGCTTTCATTGCCTCCATTCTCTTCAATTACATTTAACTCAGAGGTTGCTAATGGAACAACGACTGGAGAGAAATGTAAACCTGAAGTAGCCAAAACTGGACTTGGGTCATCAGCTGCCATGACCACATCAGTTGTTGCAGCTGTTCTTCACTATCTTGGTGCCGTTAACCTTTCATGTCCGGGACAATCTTCCGGTGATAATGCAACTGGACAAGATCTTGACTTGGTTCACGCTATTGCCCAAAGTGCACATTGTATAGCACAAGGGAAAATTGGAAGTGGTTTTGATGTTAGTGCTGCTGTCTATGGGAGTCAACGCTATGTAAGGTTTTCTCCAGAAATACTCTCCTCGGCTCAGGTAAGAAACCTCAGTGACAGATAACGTGCACCTCATCAACTTTTTCAGTGTAATCTCACTACATTTGAAGAGCTGGTAATTATGACTGCAATATTTACAGGCTACAGGTGGGACTTCCTTGCCAGATGTAGTATCAGATATTGTTACGCAAAGGTGGGATCATGAGAATAAACAGTTTTCATTGCCTCCTCTGATGACCCTTGTAAGTCACCAAGCCTCAATGGCCGTTTTTTCCAAAATGGCAATCAAATCATTTTACTGGTTTCCACCAGCCACCATGACTAGTGGTCTGCTAGGCTGCTACTAGTGGTATAGGATTTACAGTTTCTTTACTAAATACTGCAATGCTATGATGCTTATAGGCTATAGCCATTAGGCCATGTCTTCTGCTCATAGTGGCAGCACGTGCGATGAGACTGCTGTTATAACCTCATGTCATATCTATCTCACACGCATACCATGCTAATATTGATGTCATCCAGATTTGAAAAGTGATAAGTCGTAGAAAGGCTGGTCCCATTTTATTTTCATCATCACCAGATACTTCTCTCGTTTCATGTTAAGTCTATCACAGCCTTGCCTTCTCTTAAAAATATCCTTGCAAAGTTGTATCTTTATTAATATTTCTTCACTTGATATCTATTATAAGACTTGTGTGGCTCACATTGCAAAACAGCACAAGGTTAAAAAGAAATGTTGCCTTGACCTTGCACAGTGGACATCTTAGCCAAAAGTACAAAGCATAGCATAAAAAAAATTCATTTCTGTTCACAAGACAGTATGAATAGGAAGGGGCAAGGGGCGCCCGTCAATGTCAACAGTATTTTTATTTTCTACATATGTTTGTTTTTTGCTAGCTCCTTGGGGAACCTGGAACCGGAGGATCATCTACTCCATCAATGGTAGGATCTGTGAAACGGTGGCAGAAGTCTGACCCTGAGAAATCCAAAGATACGTGGAGTAAACTGGCCATTGCCAATTCAGCGCTGGAGAACCAACTGAGAATCTTAAAAGGACTTTCTGAAAATCACCGGGAGGCATATGAGTCTGTGGTGCGGTCCTGTAGTCATCTCACGTATGGGAAGGTAACTACATAATTATGTTATATACTTATATCTATTATATTACACTATCCAATTTCCGGAAAGAACTTAGCATTTGTTTGGAGTAATAGATTGATGAATAAGGAAAAGGCAGTGTTAGGATAAACCATAATATTTTCGTTTTTAGTTTTTGGTTGACCAGAGCTTGTACTCCCATTTTTAATCACCATTTATCGTGATATTTTCCAATCTGTGGAAAAAGGAAGTGAAAGTAATCTTTTATTATTCTTTTAAATGAATTCTCTGTTTCTTTGTTCTCTGCAATGGACAGAGGTGGCTACTAACCAAGATCAAGAATTAATTGTTAGATCATTGTTGGCTGCAAGGGATGCTTCCCTTGAGATAAGGCTTCACATGCGAGAGATGGGTATAGCAGCCGGTGTTCCAGTAAGGCCCCCTTTACAAAACTGCAAGTATTGTAGTATAGCATGTTCAAAGAAGTATATTCAGTATGATGTTTGGCATAATCACGGCAATATGGATCACTAATGTATGAAATTGTAGATATATATTAGGGTCAATATTATTAGTCAAGCTTGTTTGTCATCTTTGCCCTAATTTTGTAGATTGAGCCAGATTCACAAACACAGCTACTAGATGCCACTATGAATATGGAGGGTGTTTTTACTGGCTGGAGTTCCCGGAGCTGGTGGCTTCGATGCAGTATACTCAGTGACTTTGGGGGATGCAAATAATGCTGTAGCAAATGCTTGGAGCTCAGTTGGCGTTCTGCCACTTCTTATTCGAGAAGACTGCCATGGTGTTTCTTTGGAAGATGCTGACCCAAGAACAAGGGAGGTGTCAGCAGCTGTATCGTCCATTCAGATTAATTGATTCTACTGTTAATAGTTCTATTTATGTATCTATGGTGTACCATTATTTATTCTCTCGTTCTTTTAGAAGTACCAAATTGTGTCGAATGCTAGGAGGTACGTGGTTAAAATAAGTGCTGCACTTGCAGCAAGATAGCACGTTATTTACAAGGACTGTTCATGAGTGTAGAAAATAAGGAATTCTAGGGATTTCCATGGAATTAGTGCTTTGTAGCTATGGAATATACGTGAGGAAATGTCAAGCTATTCAACAAACTCATACTGTAAACCTTGCATTTGTAACTGTTCTGCATGGTTTGTATGATAATTCAGCATGTGTTAGTGTTTGAAAGGAGTTGTGGTTTATATGATGATGGTGTTTGATATTTGACCTTATTGTATGATAGGTCGTGCGTTGGCTTCCGGGGTGAAGAAACAGAGGGGGTATAACTGTGGAATGAAGAAACGACCAGAGTCCAAAGGCTTTTCTATCATTTTGATTTTTGAGGTCGTGGATTCCGGAAGTGGTCACTGCCCAGCTGGGTGGAATGTTGCCTAGCGTGCCTATGTTTTCCTCCTGCCAGTGGTACTATTCGCCAATCAATCGATTCGATTTGTTCGTAAGATAGGCAAGGTATTCCTCAATTTGGCACCTCTTACATAAATCATTGGAAACTAATTGCCTTCAGTGAAGACTATAAGCAGCTCCAGGGTGTCACTTACTATAAGCAGCTCCAGGGTGTCACTTTTACAACTTTCTTGAATGACCTTTGATTTGCACTCTATATGCTGAGGCTGAAAGTGCGTGTGCTGAACTACTAGTAGAACCCTTTCACCCTCTCATATGCTACACCTACACCGATTTTTGCTACGAGCCTACGACTACGTTCACACTGACAGCATCTTCGTGCTCTGGTCTGCTCATCTACTTAGCTTTCGCCACTTATGTAGTAATTGTTACTGATCATGTAGTTTAAGGTCAAATCCTGTTTTAAGTGACAAGATCATGTTTTATTGTTAAACGTCAGTTCAGCATTAATATCTTCCCACGGTGGGTATCTGAAACTGTATCAAAACGGTTCAGCATGTCTATGTTGAAGTCGGTGTGCTTGTTCTTATCCTAGCTTGGATAGGGCTCGCTTTGGGCTTTGGGTGAGGAAATGCGAAAGATCTACGGCAAGATATTTTTTCTAGTTCGAGCCATCGAGGAGGCCAGCTTGTTTGTGGGCTATAATTCTACAAATTTGGCTTTGGCTTTTTGGAAACGCTGAAGGTCACGAATGCCAGGTATTCTCCATTCACCAATCAATGGAAATTTGTTTGTAAAATAAGTGTGTGACTTTTGTTACTAGTGACTCTTTTTGCATAAATCGGTCCATACTCCAGACGAATCAGCGTTCTAAACGGCACGACGTCTATTCTCAAAAACCATATTCAGGCATATCAAAAGATGCATAGTTCTGTGAAATTCTAAGGTAATTTTGTGATACTTTTTAAGGAAAAATGTTGATGCGGAACCATAGGAGGAATGAGCCAATGAGGGGAGGAGGAGAAAGGATGGTGGAAAATGACTCTTAAAGGTCGGTCTAGAGTTGAAAGGTAGGATGAAGGCTAGTGTTGTCTATCCTATAAGCACCACTTAAGGGGTAGATAGAGCTAGAATTTAATGTGGTCACTCTCCGGTCATAATGCTATTTTATCAGTTAGAAAGAATGTTTTATAATTTTTTAAATAGATAATAAATAGAATTTTAAGGCCGGTCTTAGTGGAGGTTCCATGTCCCAGTTTTCGACGCATCCATATCTTCATCCTCATGAAATTCTCTCTATTCCCATGAAACTTTTATCATCTCTCTGTTCATCAATATGGTGCCATGTCAACGTATTTAATACCCATAGAACTCTGAGGGCAGTCCCAACGAAAGAAACTAGTAGTTTCTATAACATAGGATACTGCACCAAAAAAGTACTGCTTTTCAACCCATGGTTTCTATGAGTAATAATTATTTTCTCTTTCTCTCTCCCAACTCTATCTTCTTCCTCCAATGGGAGTGCGACACGAGCTCCCTAAAAACTGGTGGTTTCTCCCCAATGACGATTTCATGGTTTCTTGGTGCATTGGGTCAAGAGTAGACCTGATTTCTTCATGAGAAAACCATTTCTATGATTTTTGCTCTCTTTCTTCATTAATTACGTTGCCATGTCAGCATTTTGCTTACGTGGCAAGTCATTTAATGAGGATAGAAACCATCATCAATACACCATTGGGACTGCCCTGACGAAACCCCAATGAGACTAGCCTAATGCACGATGTAGTTCCACCCCTTCCCCTGGCGCCAACTATGCTGATCATGTAAGGAACTATCACCATGTGAAACTTCGAAGTAAGAAAGAAAGCCATCACTCCCTTCAAACCACACATAAGTGTCTTTTGGCCGATTATATATAGGGTAGACACACTTAAATCTGGGACATCTATATCTCTTTATTTGAATATAAATATGTTGATTGAACTTTGAAAACTAATTAAGTCTAGGTTTGTGTTTCCGAAGTGGTTACAAAATAATTATATATAAATAATATGTTATAATTTACATACATTTAAACTATATGATTGATGGTAAACAAAAATAGTGGTATCCTAGTGAGTAGTGACCATGCCCTTTACGACGACAGTCGACACGCTTACTTGGATGGAGTATTTTAGAAGAGAAAGGGTGAAGGAAGCCGTCGCGCTCTATGCAAACGTGGAACTCACTAGGCTGACGGCAGGTTGGAGAACATGTGCCAACCCTTCAACAAGTTTAAGATATAGGCATATGGGTACAAGGATGGTACGTTAAGTACATTCGGAGCACTTGTTTGATGAAATCAAAACTCAAAAGGGATGTGGTGCTCGTCGTTTTCGTTCCCAGGAACTAATAACTCTGTGTGCCCCTGTATTACGCGTTAGATCCTGTGAAAATCTTTTGCTGGCTTGCTGAGGAGCATCACTGCATGAAAGATATGCTTACGTAGAAGAGGAATATATGGCGAGTATTAGCTGGTAGAAAACGTGAAAAGGCCTCATGGAAAGAGGCGATGGTAGCCTCTCGTACGCCACCTCCGTAGTTGACTATGCATCGGAGTAGATTATCATATTGTTTGCGAGGTACTAATTGTATTGTATGGATTAGTGGGAACAGAGTCTCCAAGTACATAAGCCTTATCCAACTCCAAGTGGGCTAGAGGCCTGTTGGAACGCAGTGAAGAAATCTCATATTCCTATACACCGAGAAATGGTTTCTTGTAAGATTTGTTTATAATGTCATGGTTTTCAAACTATTTAAGAAGTTTATATATTATTGACTGAAATGTTATAACATATGCAAATTGGTAGTTTAATCATTAGCATAACATTCTTATTGAAAAAAGAAATAGAGTTAAATGCACCAGGAGTTTATTAGCTTAAGTAGGGATTTCAGTTAGGTCTATCAACACCAAAAGTTGATTTTCAGGTTTATAAACTTTTTAAAGGTCCACCACAAGTCCATACCCCTTCGTTTGGCACATAGATTTAACTTCCAAGTCCATAATATTTTTCAAGTGATTCACCGCAAGTTCATACCCCTTCATTTGGCCCTTAGATTTGACATGGCATGTGAAGTCGGCAGCCAACATGGCATTAAATTTGTGGAGCCCATGCCTATCCCCCGCCTGCACTGCCCTCCTTTACACTCCCTCGAACCTGACATCTATGCCCCTGCTCTATCTCTAGTCTAGTGTTAGCCGCCACCATTACTGGTCCCCAAGCTCTGTTGTTTCTTGCCTTGTGCTTCACCTTTGTCCTGGAAATGATTTATACCAAGTTTGTTTCTGCCTCCTCTCCCTTTGCACCCATTGGGCACACAGAAATCGTGTAGGAGCTCCCAGCCCACCATACTGTAGCTATCATGGTCAATTTTTGAGCTTGCGATTCGTGGGCCATTCATGTCGGTGTAGGCCATCACGGCTTCAACAAGTGCATGATTGAGTCCGTCGTGGTTACATTGTCCCTATTGAAAATTCTAGTTTGGTTTTGGTGAATTGATAAAACCCTAAGTGGTACCCTTTTGCTCTAGTGATTATGAGATAGGTGGCACATTCCAAGTGATGAAGCAAATGAAGATCATGATGATGGTGATAGCATGGTGATGATCAAGTGCTCGGGCTTAGAAAAGAAGAAAAAGAAAAAACAAAATGGGCTCAAGGTAAAGGTGAAACCCATAGGGCCATTTTATTTTGGTGATTAAGGCACCTAGTGGGTGTGATCACATTTAGAATAGATAGTGAAAGTGCAATCAAGCCTTAGTTATGGGTTTTGGTGATAATGACCACGCAATTAGAGAACCAATGAGATTTATCGAGATGACAAGTAGGGAATTTATATTCGAGGATGCTACACGAAACGAAGAAGCTCCCAATTATAAATGTAGATGGCTTCAAACTCAAAGGAGGTTTAAATTCTTTTATATATTGAATTTGAGTATAGAAAAAGTCGTACTATAAAGGGAGGCACAATGCTTAAGCTAATATGTGCTACCAAGTGCTCAAACAACCACATGCATCTGTCGGCACGAAATTTCGTCCGGTGCCGAAGGCATACGAGCAAGCTGGAAGGGTCCGCTCAATGGAGCTAGAGATCCGCCTAGCTTCAGCGCAGGGATGATCGATCCTGCGCACTCCTCCCAAGACATGCCAGTCAATTTGACCCTGCAATTGACAAGGAGAGAAAGTTTATCAGTAATTTAGGGCGGAACGTACCGGTGTTACCAGACAGTCTTGAATGTGCGGATATGAGAGCCGATATGAAAGGAGATCGACTAAATAGTCGATTCCAGCATATTCATAAGAATAAATCAATTAAAGCTCGTGGGGTTGTGTAAGAAGAATCAGTTATCGTTCAGGATGAATATCATTGTTTGGACAAATATTGATCAATGGCAATAAGATGTCAACAATAATTGGTTTATACTAAGCCAATGATTGCAAGTAACCGAACTCCTTTTCATGTAAAAGAAATAATTCATCATCATTCAACCATTTAATAAATATAAATCTAATGGATATATGCGATCTCATTTATCGCTATGATCAGTGGGGCATGAGACAGATTCATGCAGGCCGTAGAAACAACAATAGACTCGATGAACCTAACTTATTACTAATATCAGTGGGGCATGAGGCAGAATCATGCAGGTCGTAATACAATAATAAAATCATGGGGCTAACATATCTTTCAACATATCCCTACTTCAATGGTCACGTGACGTGAACTGTTCGTGGAAGCACTCGATATCGGCTAAAATAGCCGATTTAGGCATAGCGCACAGTTATGGCCATGCCCTATCAGAAATAGATCTATCAAATAACGATCCCCACTCCACGGTGCTAACAGTGGGGGTGAGGCAGAATCACACAGGCCGTGATAACGGGCCATGGAACGGTTTTTGCTAGCCAATAGATCTACTCGAGATCAGACATGCCTTAACCGCACGCTATGCACGATCAAGATTGATATAAAACAGCCGATAAAACATAA